CCTCAAGTGGAAGTGCGCAGACAAAAAGCAGCTGCGATCGGTCCTTGGTATGCCTTTCCAGCTGTCTGTGTGGTCGTCCTTCTCGATTCAGTGCCAGGGCGGCCATTTAAAAAAACAACGAGGAACAACTACGATGGACAACTACGACAAAAGGTTAATCAAAGAGGTTCGGAAGTACAACCACTTGTACGATGCCTCAGACAAATTAAATAAATAAATACATCCTCTTCTATGTCTAGCAACTCTACTGTAGATCGATCTAGGTGACCTTGATAGCTTGCAGACACGCCATTGTTGTTTTGGAAGATAAACACTCCAGCTAAGTTTTTTCGTGACCATCCGCCGAAGTTCTCGCGAGTTCTCGAATAGGCTCCCCTTTGAGCTTTGGTGGTAAACTGCTCTGCGTCCCTAGAAATTCCAGACCAACGGTGCAGAAGCATACCAGCAAAATTGGTTCGCGACCAGACCCAAGCGACATTGGATGTGTGCGTTTGCAGAAGTGACATCTGGCCTTAAGAACCACACAGAAATTTTATCTGGAGAGGAAAAATGGAAGGTTTGAATCACGGAGACTTTAGACACATATTCACATCCATTTAAATCTCACTAAGGTTTCAAACATGATATCTTTAAACCTGTTGCATTTTGGACAGTTTGCAATGATCCCTCTAATTTTTCATGTGTCTGAGCAAACATACAAGCCCGCTGAGAAGATCCCTGTCAGCAATATCAGATTGAAATGACTATGCCACAAAACATGTTATCAACCAAGGGAATTGGTCCTAGCACTGATCCCTATGGTGCTCCACAGGTAACCCTGGAAGGGTTACCATAAGGAAGATTTATTATTAAAATGAACAAACTGAAAGATAAATGATATTTAAACCAGCCTAATGCTGTAATTGCTACAAAATACCCAAACCTTTCTAAGGACTATTGATCAAGTCGATCAAGTCCATTTTCTGGGGTCATGAGAATATCATTAGTGACTTTCACCAGAGCTGTTTCAGTGCAATGATGAGCTCTAAAGCCAGACTGAAACTCTTCAAAGGTTCATAATGNATGCTGTAATTGCTACAAAATACCCAAACCTTTCTAAGGACTATTGATCAAGTCGATCAAGTCCATTTTCTGGGGTCATGAGAATATCATTAGTGACTTTCACCAGAGCTGTTTCAGTGCTATGATGAGCTCTAAAGCCAGACTGAAACTCTTCAAAGGTTCATAATGGTGTAAGTGTCAAGGTGTCACTTGTTTGGCAACTATTTTCTCAAGAATTTTAGATAAGAAAGGAAGTTTTGATATAGGTCTATAATTGACCAAGTCATCTCGGTCAAGAAATGATTTTCATAAGTAAAGGTTTAATTATAGCTACGTTAAAAGCCTGAGGTACATATACCTGTAACATGGATAGATTAATCACATCTAAAATGGAGGAGGAGATCAAAGGGAATACTTCCTTAAATAACCAGGTTGGAACTGGATCTAAGATACAAGTTGAAGACTTAGATGAAGACAATAGTTTTGTTAACTCTGAAAGTTCAACTGGATCAAAGAAGTCTAAATCCAGTTCCAATCCTATAGTTACCTCTGCTGCTGCCTCACCTTCCAGATATAAAGCAATCATATTTAGAGGGGTCCCAGTTATCTTATTTTTAATATAATCAATCTTATTTATAAAGAATCCCATAAAATCAACATTTCTTAGAGCATGGGGGACGGATATTTCATTTACATTTATATTTACTTTTTTTAAAGTGGAGAGCTTGGGTGTTTTCAAAAATTCACAAAAATCCCCCACTATAACTTTAAATGAAGAGAATCATACTGCTCTTGCTTTATGAAGGGTCATTTATTTTACAGCAGCTACAGCAGGAGCTATTTTGTCTAAGGCAGTAACCAGAGAACTAGAAACCCTATCAATAAAATTAACAATTAGTAAAGGGGAATAAATTAAATGGTTGCCATCTGCAGTATAGTTTAGTGGTACAGAGGAGAGAGAGAGTGGAAAATACACTTTAAAATTTATAACTGCATTATCTGATAATGATTTGTCAAAGTGAATTCCTGTTTTGGAGGAAGAGAACTTTGTTAAAGTTTGTGTGTACAAGTTTGTAAGGAAATACTGTTATTTCTTCACGTTAAATGCCACCCATCTGTCAGCAAAAGGTCCAAAGTATGAAGATGAGAAAGTGTGGGTATCTTCACATTTTGAACAAAGCTAATTGAGTCTAAGATAGTATTGAGTTTGTACCAAGGTTTATAAAGCTTAACTAATGTTTACAGTCATTTTGTTTCTTTTTTGTGCGTTTTCTGGCTGAGATGAAGCAATGTCTTTACAGAGCTAGCAGGATCTAACTAAGCTTGAGCTCCGTCTCTTATGACTTATGCCTACTCTTCCTATTGGTTCAGAATCATTTCATGTTGAGTTCAGCAACAGACTTGTTAAAATGTATATAAGAATGATTTATCTTTTTTTTTTTTTCAGTAAAATGTATACTTTTATTCTGCATCACTTTAGACAACCTTTTTGAACTAATGATCATGTTGATAAAAAGAGTTGTATCTATGACCTTTAATAATGATGATTTTCATGATGAAGACATGCAAAGTGAAAGAATAGTTCAAAAAATATTCCTAATTGTCTGTTTGTGTTTTTAGCAAAAATAGATTAAGATTGTAACTAATCTACCCAGTTTTTGTAGTAAAGAAAAAAAAAATCACATATATTGCATAGCTTATATGTGATTGCATACATATATTCAAAGCTTATTAAAGAACATCATTCCAACATATGCTGGTTTGTCTTTACTGGTAGTACAATTACTGGAGTTTTGCTGGTAAATCAGAGTTAGCAAAAACTAAAATCTTTAACTGGTCAGTTAACTCCAGACTAACTTTAGATTATGATGGACAGACTGGGATGATTGCATTCAGATGGTCAGATAAAGCAATGCGTTTGTACAATTTCAGAAAAAATCGGCAACATGCACAGGGCTACTGGTTAATTCCAGATGAGCATGGATCAGGGTTGGAGTTGTGGAGAAGTTTTACAGTAGAACAGTGTTATAGTGGGTTAGAAAACAACATCTGTAAACACATCAGGGAGTTCTGTTCAATCTATAATCTCGCAACAGAGAAACATGGAAATGGAATCATGCTGTGGGCCTGCCTTTAGTCTGTCCGGAAAATTCAGACTTAAATCCAGAAACTTAAATCCAACTGAGAATCTGTGTAAATCTTTAAAATTACTGTTTATATTAAATTTATTTGAGCTATTTTGCTTAAAAGAACAGTAAAAAATATGTCTTAGAAATGCAGAACGACAAAGAAAAATACCCCTTAAACTGTGATTACTTCTGTAATCCTAAAAAAGGTATCCACTCAGTGGGAGAAACCAGATGCACACTAAACTTTGACTTGTATTTGTAACACATTGATTAATTATGTTTACTCTATTTTACAGTGCTGTACTACTTTGTGTTGGTCAGTCACAGTAAAACCCCAATATGGAAATTCAAGTTTAGCTTGTAATGCACTGAAATAGTTCAGCAAGAGACTTGATACAGTATGTATTTTAAGATTATTTAAAAGTGCAAAGAGAAGCATGTTTAAAAGAGAGATCCAGAAGAAAACAAAGCTAACCATCTGAGCATACAAAGCTTGTTCTACATTTCTGTTTTATATGGTTCACTATATCACGGAACCACTTACATGTTTTGTTTTACAGATTTTCTATTTTGAAGTTTAATTTTTTCAGATTGAGTTTTGCAAACTGAAACTGCTTTCTTTTCGCATTTAATTTTGCAGCTCACATTATCTTCTCTTAAATCTCTTAACAAGCACATTGACCATGAATAAACTGTTGTTGCTAACATCCATGCAGGCCAATGCATCTTTACCCCCCAGAGGTGAAAGAATAGGATGCTATTTTAAAAGAATGGTCATCTGAAAACTCAATCTATAAAAGAACGCTGTAAAAAAAAAAAAAAACATTTTAAAATGTAAAAACTGTAAAAAAAATAAAAAAAAATTGTTAAAGACAAAAAGTGAAAAATATTAATTCAAAAATATAAAATCTGCATGTTCAAGAGAACATGAAATAAAAAAAAGAGAAAATTTTAAATATGAAATATAGATTTTTATATTTTATTTTGCTTGCAACAATAATGGACCAAAGCTCACTCCATACAGGTTGGGTTTGCAGTTGGCTATTGGCATTATATCTATTAGAGCAGCCTTTTATTACAGGTTCCGGTTAATAAAATTAGATTATGCAGCTTAGAGACATGTCAATTTGCTTATTTGCATCAAATTCATATTGATTAATATAAATGCTTTTCACTTTGCTGCCTGTGTTTAAAAAAAATACAATAAAGTAATCTTGTCAGCATTGGAAAAAGCCAGCAATCCAGATTTTAGCTCTTAGTTGCAATTTCAGAGAAAACATGTTTATTTAATACTTCAACTAGATGACTAGAAGTGTGGCACATGCAGAGCAACATGAAGTCTTATTTTTTTCTAAAGCCTTCAAAAAACCAATCAGCAAACATACAACATTGTTTGTTTGGGGGAAAGATCCAACCTAGTTCTTAGTTTATTCTGTTAAGAGATGTTAATGTTGCTGTAACATGTATCCCACTTGTATGAGTGTGTGCCGCACAACCAGCAACAGCTGCTGATTTGTAAACACAGCGCCTTTAATGCCAGCCTCCAAGCAAACCTGTCTAACACACTCAGCCAGGTACAAACACTTCAAAAATCAGAAGATCGAGGAAAAGTCTCAGTGTGATCACAACAGCCTCTTTTTATGGGAGATCTACAGACTCGCTCGTATGTGTGTGTGTTGCTGTTACTTCTCACCTTGTCCCAGTGTGTGTGACACCCCCTCCTCCGCTCCACTTGTCTCTGCTACGCTGTCCTTCATTTAAGTCCACCTTCTTCATAGCAACACTCCTCATATCATCCCTTTTTGCATGTGTGTGTGTGTGTTTGTGCAGGTATACCGAAGGCAGGCGTCAACCAGGCTGGCAGCGTTGGAGGAGGCTGCAGAGGGGAGGACAGCTTCTTACCAGAGGGAGATCGTTCACCTGCAGAAGCTGCTGAGAGAAAGACAGGAGGCTGAGGAAAAACTGCTGCAGTCCAAACGGTAGGAGGGGTGTGAGGAGAAGAGAGAGAGAGAGGAGAGAGGGGGGAGGAGGATAGTGAGATAATGTATGAATGAGAGGAAGGGACGTGATGAGATGAAAGACAACTGTGTGTGAGTGCTTGCAGACAAACCTTAGTGCATGTTATACATCTGATTTAGCTCATTAAAGCTAATTTAGACTAACATCATGATAAAGAGGTATGACTTTCTGGAAGCTTCTTTAAGAAAAGTTACACTTTTAAACCAGCATCTCACCATAAAAAAGTCTCTCTTTCCATGATGTTTATTTTTTAACTTCATTCCTGCTCATTTATATGGTGGCTTGTGGCTATACTGCCCCACCTTAAATATGCTTAAGTTTTGTCACTTTGCAATTGCAAACTGAAAAGTGTTTTTTTTAATTAAATTCAAATCAGGTTATTTATATAGCGCCGATTCACAGCACATTTTATCTCAAGGCATTTTACAGAGACAATTAAATCCCATCTTAAAGTGAGACTGGTTACAGGTTTCTGTCGAGGAAAACCAGCTCACTGCATTGAATCATAGTCTTGCAGGACATGGTCCGCTTGGATGAGCTTTCTGCAATATTTGGTTGCATTTTGTTGTTGTGCAAAATTCAAGCAAATCCTCCACTCCTAGTATGCATGCAGCGACAGTGGAGAGGAAAAAACTCTGTTTTAACAACAAGAAACCTGCAGCAGAGCTAGACTTAGATAAAAAAAAAAACTAGCTCCACAGGTAGATCTGTCTTGGAAAGAAACTGTTAAGTAGATTTGCTCATGTTAATTGGATAAGAGAGCACAAACAGTTAGTCACAGTTAAGGCTTAGCCCATAGCTACGTATAGGGGATGATAAAAATAGACCCATCTCATTGATCTTTAACTGAAGGTGTTGATGGCAGCAGCCCTGCTAAACATAAAGATAATATATCTAGATGTTAAACTAACAAATATTGCTAAATGGTTGAACAGAGATAGAAAGAAGTAGAATAATGAAAAGTAGTCCCCATGTCCTCCAGCAGCCAAAACTTATAGAAGCATAGATAAATTAAAAATAGCTCAGGATAAATGCAATAGATGGACACAAAGTTTGCAACAAGCATGTAGGAAAAACTGCACCTGTATCTCACACACTAAAACTCCACATCAATGCGTCTACACAGCACCATGCTGTGTAAACCCTTTTCTTCAGCGGGGCCAGGGAAGCCGGTGCACAGCACTTAAAATTGAGATGAAGGTTGACCTCTCAGCAGAAGAAAAAAACCCTAAGCCTAAATCCACAGCTAAAAGGGAATTGTTTAGATCAGGGCAGAGCTGTTGTTTGGAGAAGAGCTTGTAGAGATTTCTGTATGAAGTATTGACTCAGGGAAAATGAAAACAAATGTCTAACCCGTCTTCAGATTTACATTTAAAAAAACAACAAAACTTCGAAAGCCGGAAAAAAATGTACTTTCCCTTTGTAAATACATATTTTTTGTTGAACCAACACAAAAATCCCATTAGAACTCCTAAAAGTTTATCGCTCTAAGATGTGCAAAGTTTTAAAGGGATATAAGTAAAGACACTGATTTATCACTTGAACTTAGTTTGGGTTATATTTAAGGAATAAATGGAAGTATTTTTGTAGTATGTTGATATATATTTAGCAGCAAGGGCATAATTCTGTTGACCTGTCTCCTAAAATGCTTAGTTACCTTTGTTGTAGCTTAGTGGTAAAAGATTCTGAAAAAAAGTCTGGGGAGATGATTTTCATCGTATGTGATTGAATGGATAGATGCCTCCTTCCAGGTTGAAGGAGATGAAGTAACCCATAGGATGAGGAGGAGGAGGAGAGTGAGATCTCAGTGTTTTCCTCAGCTCTTCTCATCATGTGTTAAAACTTCCTATTAGGTTCACTGGAGTTGTCAGAGCAAAATGTATTGCAGCGTTTCAGGAGGTTTCTGCTAAACATTGTGTTAAAAGGTGGTGAAGAAGTTGGTGTGTTCGGTCTGCCAAGAGAGTGAATCCTCTCCTCAGCTTTCATTATCAGCCAGGCAGTTTTGAGAGTCCAGGAGAGATCCTCCGCTGATTTAATAAGATATGTCACTCTGCAAATGTGGAAGTTCCTGGCTATAATATTATTTTATTGTCAAAACACCCCTAATAAAAGTTAGAAATCAAATCTTCTTTGGGAAAAGCAATTATGAAACACATTGCTCTGATTTAAAGGGCTCACGTTTGAGTGTTTTATGTGCTGAGGTTTGACAGAACCACTGAGGGAGTTTTTTTAGTTATTTTTTTTTTCACTTTTCACAAATTGCTTGTTGTTGTGCAACATGTCTCCTTGATTAAGATCAAGTCTTTATTCTTCTGAAACATTTAAGCCTTATTCTTCACTAATGTTGTCTAATTATTTCAGTAAAAATCATAGAACTCTGTGGAACCTTCTCATCTAAAATTAGAGTTAACTTTAAAACAGTAATAAACAGATAATATTACTAATAACACCAC